GTCATTTTAGGAGAGAGATAGACACAGAAAAACGGATATCATGAAAGAGAGAAAATAGATGGTTTTTTTTAATTTAAAATTCAAATTTTATGTGTCTGTATCTCTCTTAAAATGATATAACTTTCTGTCATTTAAAATGACAAACACTTTTCCCAATATATAATAGATGTAAGTATTACTTGTAAGAGAAAACAAAATGGGAAAAAAATTACAACTGATCTGATCCAAACAAGAGAGTCAAATTTATTGAGGCAAAAAAATTAAAATATTACTATTTTAATAAATAATTACGAATACATAGCAGTTTTGAAACTATCTACGAATTTATAGCAGTCATTCACGTCCAAATTAGGCGTGACTATTCACGCCCAATTTAGGCGTGAATCATCTGGTGTTAACACGTGACAAAAAAAGTCAACTTACAAACCGTAAAACTTTGGAAAGCCATAACTTTTGACTCGGGTATCCGAATGAGGTAATTCTTTTTTTGATTCCACATAACTTTTCGAGATCTACGCAATGACATCTCATTTGATATATTTTATCTCTCACAAACACAATTCAAATTTGCAATAATTGTATTATATAGTGTATTACAAAAAAAAATTAAAAAATTATTATTAATAAGAAAAATAAAATAAATAGTAAGTTTGTGATTTAAACTCAAAAATCAATTTGAAAAATCTGTATTAATAAAGAAAGTAATTAAATAAATATTCTAAACACTTGGTAGAATATTATATAAATTTGTATATATTTTAATAATTAAATAAATAACCTTGTACACTATTTTTTTTCAAACACTTGGTAGAAGTATATATTTTAATATGACATTAAGTATACTTATTTATAGATGAGTTAATCTACTTTGGTGCCATTTTTATAGTATCGTTGTTGTAAATTTGAATTATATTTGTCAGAGATAAAATATATCAAATGAGATGTCATTGCGTAGATCTCGAAAAGTTATGTGGAATCAAAAAAAATTACCTCATTCGGATACCCGAGTCAAAAATTATGACTTTATAAAATTTTACAGTTAAATTATTAATTTTTTGTGACACGTGTCAACATCAGACGAGTCACGCCTAATTTAGGTGTGAATTCCTTGGGAGTCAAGCCTAATTTGGGCATGAATAGTCACGCCCAATTTGTACGTGAATATCTGCAATAGATTCGTAGGTAATTTTGAAACTGTTATATTTTCGTAATTATTTATTAAATTAATAATATTTTAATTTTTTGCCAATTTATTGAAGCAATTTTAATAACCGAACCAATTTATATTCAAACAACTCTTAAATCAAATATATTTAACTATATTTAACGAAACCAAATATAGCAAATCAAGTTATAGAAGTTGCCCAACAGCACCCCTCTTCTGGAAACAGACTATCTTCTCGTCGGCCGTCGCATGCAGATTCTCCTACAACGAATTTGTGTAGAATCAATTAACCGAACGGCCGGAGAAAGCAGATCATAAGGTTTGGATTTAATAAAAATAAACCCAATCGAACCAAACTGGAATAACTGGATGTCCGAATTTTATTTTTATTTTTTATAAATCACAAGTATCGTTCATCAATTATGTCCGGGTCTAGAATATCCACATTATGTCATTGAGTTAAAACTCCTAATATTTTTTTTTTTGCATTCATAAGAACATGAACTCAAGACCATATCAAGTATACACCACTTAAATCAATTTCATGATACATTCAAACTCTTGCATAGATATTTGTTTCTCACTCATGGTTATATAATATGGGATATATTATATCTTTCACTTTCTTTTTCTTATCACCTATTACAATTACTTTATTATGATTAGATCAAAATTAAATTAATTATTTTCAATTATTATCATTTTGCAAACATTGATTTAATTATGATCCGATAACAAATTTGATTATAAGAGATAATTTCAATATAAATGAACGATTATGTTTTATTCATTCTCTTTATAAAAAAAAAACAGAAACAACTTCTACCGAACACGTGTGTGGCCATGATCCAACTGCATCTGTAACGGTCTAACGGATGATTCCGTCATGCTCCTGAAAATTCCAAAGGCACGAGTCAGAAAACCGTTTATCAAAACCAAGCAAGCAAAAACTAAACAAATTAGTAGACAATTTTAATTTAAATAAGTTGAATAAATAGTTAATAAATTTGAATAATTATATGCAAATAATTTAAGTAACTAATTAAATTAATATAATATGAGACAAGATATACTTATCACCAAAAATATTTATCACCTTTACAACCAGTTAAATTATCATTAATTCATGTCAATCTAACAATTATGATTTATTGAGTTTATTGGAAATTAATAATTAATTAATGGGGAAAATGTGTGTCATTTTAAATGATGCAAAGCTGTGTCATTTTAAGAGAGAGAAAGATATAGATAAAAAAGGAGAGAGAGTTGACAAAAAAATAAAGGTGTGGTTCTCACCTATTTGTGAGAGTAAAAGGATATAAGTTGTGTCGTTTAAAAGAATAAAACACTTTTCCCTTAATTAATAAGTATAATCTAATAATTCTTAATAAATTATAACCATTAGATTGACATAAATTAACACTGATTAAGTTGATTGTAAGGATGGTAAATTTTTATACTGAAAAATATATCATTCCCTATATAATATATCGATTATTTCAGTTTGCAAAATTGATAAGAGGTTAAACATAATAATAAACAGGCTTATGCTTATCTCATTTTATATGAGACAAACAACTTTGCTACACACAAAAAGAATTAGGTCTCATCACTCTTTTTTTCCCCTTCTCTTATCTGTGGGTCATACTTGTAAATTTATTTCTACAACATAAGATAACTACTTACCTACAAGAAAAATATTTCCCTAACAAACAACTCGCAATAAAAGTGAATAAAAAACATTACTAAAAGCATGAACCGAATAAAAGTACTTTTGGACGGGCTCCCTCTCTCTGCGTCCCGTGCTTCCGTTTAACCGAAACCGTTTTCTGTCATAGTGATTCTGATCCCTCACGCGTGTGCGCTCTGCAAACAAACCAAAGCAAACCAAATTTCCATTTCCTTGTTTGTTCATTTCTACTTCTAGTTTTTTCCTTTTTTTTTTTTTTTTTTTCCTTTGGATTGAAAATTCAAAGGGTAACGGTAAAAATTAAGTGCTTTTTGTGTGTGTGTGTGTGGGGTGAAGGGTTTACTCTCTCTCTCTCTCTCTTCTGTTTCTAAGATTCGGGCCAATGAAAACAAGATCTTTCTCTCAGTCTCTCTTTTCTGATCGGATCTTTTCTCTGTTATCACTTTCCCCAACTTTCTTTTTCATTTCCTTTCTTTTCACCCTTCTTCTTTCCGGTGAATGATAATCATCATTTGGATACACTTAACCCAACAATTATTTTTCAAGCTAAAATTAAAAGTTATTGAGTGATTATATAAAATTTTAATGATGTTTTAGAATTTTAAAGAAGAAATATGAAATGATTTATTATTAGTGTAAAAGATAAATAAAAATAAGGGTAAAATTTAAAAAAATTGACATATATATTAAAAAAAGTAAGAGGATGTATTTACCACCATTTTTTGTTATCACTTCTTATAACCAATCTTATAATTATTGGATCAAAATCAAATCAAAATGACAAGGAGTGAGAGTCATTAATTTAATTTTGATTCAACGATAACAAAATTGATTCTTGTAAGAGGTGATAAGAAAAAAGTGGTAAGTATAACCTATCACATATAAAAAAACTTGCTTAGGACATTTTTTTTTTATTTTTTTCTTTTCCCTTTATTTATTATGAAAAAGTTCTTTTATGATAATATTTTTTAAAACTTTATTTGACTAGATTTCTGCTTTAAAAAAAAACCGAAAATAAAGGTTTTATGGTTAGTATAACGCTGCTTACTTTGTACAATTCTTCGATATATATATATATATATATATATATATATATATATATATATATATATATATATATATAGACATTTGATTTTTTTGATCTAATGACTCTCATATAAGGTGTCAAATTTTAAATTTGACACTGATGTCAAAGGATCCTACCTCACACACACACACACATATATATATATATATATCTATAGGGAAAATATTTCTGCAGCCACTTTAGATAAAGTTGTCTACAGCTATCCCATTTTAACTAAGTATGATCGGTCATACATTAAAATTACATTTTCTCTCTCCGCCACGTCAGCCAACAGTGTCTGGGGAAAGAGAAAAAAAAACAGCTTTATTGTTATAACTAATTATGACCGGTTATACTTAGTTAAAAAAGAGTAGCTGTAGATAACCTTATCTAAAGTGACTGTAGAAATACTTTTTCATATATATATATGTTTTACGACCCTTACACTTAAATAACTAGCTTTTCTGGAATAAATTTATAGGAATTGATTTTTATTTATTATATAACATGATCAGATTATGTCAGATATAATTTAAAATTTTCAGGCAAATTAATGCCGATGAGAAATGAGAAAAAGAGTTTTGAACAGAGAATGATAAAAAAAAAAACCATTAGTTTGACCACAAATATTAAATTATCTCCCTTAATCTAATCATGTTAACTTTCATGTGAGGATTTCCTAAATTTATAGATATGAATCAGTAACAAGGCACAATTAAGGTGCAGAAATATAATCATTACATCGGTAGAGGTTGAGAGGGTACAAAAGCAAGCGACAAGTCAAAACTGAATCTTGACAGAAGATAAATGCATGTTGTACGTATTATAGATGTTCATACCAAAAGGACGTACATGATTAACGTTAGTAATGTCGTGCATATTAATATTATTGTAGAATAATAAAGATATGTCTATGTGGCACGGTGGGGTTGAGACTTGATTAGACTATGTACGTTATGATGGTAGGAAATGAGTGACATTTCACGTGTGATAATTTGGTCATTTGCGAAGAAATGGAAGGAATCTTGAGGTGATGGTGTTGGGACACGGGTCAGCCAAACTGAACGCAAAAACAAGAAATGCGTGTGAGGATATATGCAAATGCCAATGCAGATGTACGCTTTTCTTACAAGAAAGAAAGCAAGGAGGAAGAGGAAACATGTGGTGTTGATGTCTCCCACAGAAGATGCAATAATCTCTTACCGTGGTCAAACAAGTAATTAAAACCCATATCTTTTAGTACCTTTTTTTTTTACCTCTGAAAACCAACATTTTCCTTAGAACCAGACCTGTGTAACTGTCTCTTTTTGAGTCTCATGCATTTGGTGAGGTCTTCCAGCTGCCTCTGACCCATCCTCTTCTTATCTGTATGCTTATCTCATCAAATGTAACTGATCTATTCTCGTGTGCAATTTTGAGTCAGTGTTAAGTAACCTATTATGTGCTTATTTTTTTGACCAAAATTAACATGGTCATACTAAATTACATGCCCAAAATAAAAAGGTGAAAAAAGCAACTTAAAGGAAGCAAGGAAACAAGAAGGAAGGAGCAGTTGGCTATGTTAAAATAAACAAAGGCTTAATTGTAGGATCAGATGGAATTAATTGCTAATTTACGAAACTAATTATCTCGTAGAAGAGAGAAAAGATCGAATTAGACCATGCATTAAGTTCATATCAAATTCTTGTTTTATGTGCCTCTTCCTTTTGTTTATTTAACATCATTATGTTAATATATATACATCTTCCTTTACTCCTAAGCGATCAACTTAATAATTCCAACATGATCTTCTAATTTATTTACTACCTTAAACTGCATGATTAAGAGCATGTGTCACTTGCTGTAATGCTTACATCCCCGCCCTTCACGCGCATGCAGGTATCTTGGATATTCCACAACAAGGATATATGCGACATGATTTTTATTTTACTAATATATATGAAGTAGCTTGACTTATTATACACGAAATTTTTATAATGTAACAACAATACAGTTATGCATATATATATATATATATATATATATATATATATATATATATATATATATTAAAATTGAGTCTCAATTGACGGTATTTAATTAAAGTTTAAGACGTTTGAATACTTTGACCAGAACTTAATTAAAAAGAAATAACTTGAGTGTAGCAATGTCGTTATTAAAAATAAGAAGTCCAAGCAAGAATTAGTTGTACAGTTTAGACAAGAAATTAGAAAACTCTTAAATGTTTTAAGAACTAAAAAGGGAAAAACTATTTTCATGCTACACGAGATAAGTTTTTTCTCCTATACATCCTCCGATAATTGTGCCACCTTTTTTCTTTTTATTTTATTTTTTCATGTGGTGGAATCTACAAATTTATCTCTATGACATGAGATAACTTATCTCTTTTTACATGGGATTAATAAAATCCATTAAAAAATATATTATTTTCGGCAAATAAAAATGAAAGAGGTTATACTTACCACTGAATAAGTTTATCACCTCTTACTATCTCTCCTGTAACCATCGGATTAAATTAAATCAACTGTTGTTATTTGATATAATTTTTTTTTCTCTTTTTCATGATCTCCTTCACTCTCTCTTTTAATTTCTTCTTTTTATCATGTTTTAGTCATCAGTATTCAACAACTATAAAAAGTGATAAACTTAGTTGATGTTAAGTATAATCTTCCATATAATTTAATAGTTTAATTTTTTTTTTGTTATAAAACATAAATTTTATATATATATATATATATATATATATATATATATGAAATTCATATTAAAAAAAAGAAAGAAAAATATAGATGCCAGATACTATAATACTATTGATTAATACAAGAATAATTGCACAATCCGAAAGAACCAAAGAAAAAATTTAAAATAAGAGAGAAAGTGGTTGAGATGGAAAGAAGGATTGTAGAAAGACGTGATGGACTGGTGGTGAGATTGATGATTTTAACTTCGTTTGTTGGCTTTCAATTCATATATTTTACGTTCCCTTTGAAAAAGCAAAAGGTTTTAGAAAAAGACAAACAGATTCTGGTTTTTCGCTCAAAGCCCGAGAGGGAAGGTGTGCAAAGCAGCAAGAAAAAACACCAATACCCAAAACACCACGCATTTGTTTAGTGACAACCCACACGAGCGGTTCTTGAACTGCATGCACTGCACATCATCATAGACTTTTCTAGAGAGAGAAACAGAAACCACCCTCATCAGTCTCTCACTCTTTGTTTTTTAATATTTTCCAATAAAGAGAGAGAGAGGAGACTGGGAGATCAGTCTCAAAGTAAGGAACCCCCTGATCTCATTTTCTTGCTTTCTTAGTATAGAGAGAGAGAAAGAACAAGTGAAAAAAAAATTGTGTGGGCTCCAATCTATTCTCCACCTTTTTGTTATTGCTCTAACGCTATTTTTCTCTCCCCTATGTTTCAAACATCCTATTATACTTTGCTAATTTCTCTTCCTCTTTAAAACGTTTCTGTTTTCTTCTCATTCTTACAACTCAACCCCACCTTGAAAGTTCAAAGCCTATATGCATTTCTTCTTCCATTTTTTATCCTCTACCTTATCTCCCTCTCTCTTCACTCATAGTTAAAAGATAGGGAATATATACAATAATGCTACCCTTTTGATTTTAACCTCCTTTATCTTTCATCTAACAGGGAAAACAAAAGAAACTGCTTTCATAACATTTTTATCCTTTTTTTTCTCCCCTCCTCTGGCATTGTGTTGCTGTTTCCTAGGGGAGAGAAGAATCCATTTGTTATTTCAAAGTTGAACCCTTTTGTTTGTCTTTAGTTTTGTTTTTGCCTCTGTTTGTACTTGGCTTTCAGTCTCCATGAGTTCACAGCATTTCAGCAATGGGGGTGAAGGTTTCAATGGAGATATGAGTTTTTTCCATTCAGCTCATGTCCCTTCTTCTCTTCTCCTGAGTTCCCAAGCTCCTCCTTTGTCTAAGACTCTAGCGGTTATGGGTGATGGTTGTGGGGTAGAGGGTCCAAAGCCTGAGATGGGGCTTCAGATTTTGAGCCCCTCAATGTTCCAGCCCCAGGAGAGCAGGGGAACAAAGAGAATCAACGATGAAAGAGATGGGTACTTTGGGGTTGATAACAAGAACTTGTCTTTGAAACTTGGGGATGAAGTTGAAGCTAAGAGTTCTGGTGCTGGAAAAAATGGTTATTCTAAGCTCTGTGCTAGAGGTCACTGGAGGCCAGCTGAAGATGCAAAACTTAAGGAGCTTGTTGCTCAGTATGGTCCTCAAAATTGGAACTTGATTGCAGAACATCTAGAAGGAAGATCAGGTAATCCAAACCCCATTTCTAGGAAACTGACATAAATTCTTTATTTAAAGTTTTTTTTTTTTTAAAAAAAAAAAAAAAGTAATATATATAAAGTTTGTAATATCTATCACATAGGGAAAAAAAAATTATGGATGATTTCCATCAGCGTAATAAGAGAATTTGTGATGATGCTTTGTTAGTGCCATTTTATGGAAGGAATATAACCCTGCATGGCTTTTCTTGTTTTTTCTATTCTAATTGCAGGGAAAAGTTGCAGATTGAGGTGGTTTAATCAGCTGGATCCTAGAATCAACAAAAGGGCTTTTTCTGATGAGGAAGAGGAGAGGCTTTTAGCTGCTCATAAAATGTATGGTAACAAATGGGCCATGATTGCTAGACTCTTTCCTGGGAGGACAGATAATGCAGTGAAGAATCATTGGCATGTGATCATGGCTAGAAGGTACAGGGAACAATCTAGTGTGTATAGAAGGAGAAAGCCAGCTGTTGAAAATGAAGCAACTGGTTTAAAATTGACTCTGTCAAACAATGCAGCCAGTGAATCAACCATCTCAAGCACCATGGATGAATCTGCTTCAACTTGCACTAACCTCTCCCTTACTCCTTCTTCAGCCAAAATAACACCTAGACTTTTTGATAAACTGGGTCCAGTTTTGAATCACCAAGTGCATGGATTGCTAATGGGTATGATTGTTTCTCCCCCATTTAGCCTAGAAAATCATGTTTCTTAATATTTTATTTTTTATTTTTCATATCTTATCTCTAATGTTAATATTTTATATCTTACTGTTTTGTTTTGTGAGACTGCAGGTCAATCTGGAGAAAGAGGGGTGGCAACTGGGAATGTGAGTTTTGACAAATTGTTTGGTGCTTGGAATGGAACATATAAGCTTGAATCCATGGGAATGCTCATTGGTGTGGACCAGTCCAATTTCTCAGATTCAAACTCAGAAGTTTCAGTGTCTGAGTCAGTTGCCACCAATAGGTCCAATCTCTCAATTTTTGGTGAAAGTGAAAACGTGGGTGATAAGATTAACATGCCATTCATTGATTTTCTTGGGGTAGGAGCTACATAGCTAAATTGATGCAATCTTCACCGAATGAAACAAAAAGGCTGAGGAGTAAACAGCAAGAGAGGAGTTAGGAAAGTGAGAGTAGTCAGGGGCATAGTTGTGTTGTTGGGTGGAAATGGGTCTGCTCTTGTGCATTCCCTTGTGTACAGTAGGTTCCATATAAGGTAAAAAGTAAAAGGTGAAATGAATAGAGGGGAGAATGGAAAGGTAGAAAAAGTAAAAAAAGTAGAAAGAAAAGAGGGGGAGTGTGCGTCTGTTGTGAACTTATGAGTAGTTATGAGATTCAGAAAGTATAATAATTTTAAAACTCTTGGTTTTTGGACTGTTGTTGCAACATCAGAAGCAGGGCTTTGTTAACCCGTGGTACTTTTGGCATTTTGTTAATCAGAAGCCAAAGTTTCTTGACTTGGATTCCTCTTTTCATGAATCAACCTACCTGTTTTCAATTACTCTTCTCAGTGCTGCTGCGTCATGTCATTGGTTTTTGTGCTCTTTTTTTTTCTTCTTGTTGTGTGTTTGGTATTAGCATTTTGACCATATTTGACATGCATAGGCAACTAATCTGTCTATATTGTTCAATTAATTCTTTTGCAACTTCTTTAAAACAATTAAAAAGGTTTGAGTTTGTTTTGGCTAATATTATTAAGTGTTGGAGTATGAAATTTTATTTCCAGCTAATAAGTAGTTGTTTAACCGAAGAAAGGGAGAAGATGACGATTCTTAATTTAACCCGTTATATATAGGCATGTCATACATACATTTGTATAAATTAACTATACAATGATACATAATTAAATAGACATACGTATAACTAAAGGTTTGGCCTACTAGGTAATTGAGGTACCCTCCTTGCTTTCACATGTTAATCTGTTCACCATATTTAATATAATTAAAAAGGGGATTGATTAGGCATAGCAAGCACCAAAAATGTGGGGGAATTGAAACTGTCCCTGATATGAAAAAAAAGAAAGATATTTATGTGGTTTAATCTAACAATTTAAATTTTTAAAAGAATTAAATCTTTTTTTATTAGAATAGTCCATAATATTTATTAGAAGAATTGAAAGAATTAATTCTTAACATAATATAAAAACTTCTATGATTAAGTGGTAAGATAGGATGAATCTGTATATTATTCATACTTTGAATTTAACGAGTTTTTATGCCGGCATGGTGATTGTTCTGTATCAATATATATGCCGGCATGTTCATTCAAAGAATAATAAGATACACTGAGGTTTGTTACAGTTAGTTAAGGTTAGGCTCATATCCTATAAAAATATGAGTTTTAATCCGGCTAGTCGATTTTATTGGTGGGCAATTTGTAATATCTTTCAGAAAGAGGTTGAGATTTGCTGGCTCTGGTAGGATATCCGTGTTTAACTTCACTTAACTTTATCTAAAAAAATAATAAGATATAGAGGTACTCCAATTATATCTTTAGGTGCTTTTTATTTTTGGTTTTATAAGTAAGGGGGGAAAATCACTTGAACTTGCTTGTAGCCCGAGTAGGGTGTAAATAAGCTGAACGAATTGTCAATGGCTCAAGACTTGGCTTGCTTTAAGCTTGGCTTGGCCTAACTTGTTTAATAATTTAATAAGACATGGCTTGAAGGTCCGTGAGCTGATTCGATATATTATTATAATAAATAATATATTTCTATGTCATTAAATCATTAATCCTATTTTTATATCAAATTACTCATATGAAAGTGCTGATGGACTTTGGGGCAAGTGCCAAGTTTTCCTGGAGTAGTATGAGGTCTGATAGTAGTGCGAATAGGTAATTTTTTTTCTTTGGTTAGGTGTTGTTAGTGGATATTAATTGTTAACCTCTTTGTTCCAATTTGAGGATGGAATGATGGTGATATGAGATGAGATTCAATTGTTTGTCCGGTTTATTTGATTATTTTAATAAAGGTCATAGTAATTATTGTTTTTTTAATATTACAAATTGTTATTATTGAAAAAATTTAAAGGTTAATCTATATTACATACTTTTCTTAAAATATTCTCCCCCCCCCACATTCTCTATTTCATGAGCTGGATCAATGTTTAAGAAAAAGTAAAAAGTTGCGGAGGAATACAAATTTTTTGATGCATTTATAGTTTCAATATTCGGACGTATGTGAGTTTAGAAAAAATATATTTTATAATTATAAATGAGCCAAGGTAAGTCTTTAATTTTTATAAATAAGTCAAGTCAAGCCTAAAATTTAGCTCGTACCAAGCTAATGAACCAAGCTACGCTCAAAATATTTTTCATAAACTTGACTCGTTTAAACTAAAGCTTGGCTTGGCTCAGCTCATTTACACCCCTAAATTTGGATATAACTTTGTACTTATTTTTATTTGTCTCACAGAAATAGGGATGTCAATTTGAAAATGAGACAAGAAAAAATAGCTAGGTTTTATTAAGGGTGCAAATTTTCTACAGCGACTGCACAACTTTATTTGGTGCAGCAGATACAAGCAAGTGAGTCCCACTTGTTTTAAAAAATAATAATAATACTAGGATCCGAAACAGTATTCTATTGTTAGAAGTTTTTTTTTTTTTTTTTTTTTGCAGTGACAGAAAAGTTATAAAACCCTTTTATTAGTTACCTTAAACGGTTGTTCCATTCATTTGGGGCCCAAAAAGTCCAATTGCTTGGCCATTGGGTAGTGGAGCTGAATGCTATTGGCTAGGTTTTATTAATTATCATCAACAGTTTTTCCTTTAATTTGGGCCAATGTCTTGTTTACCAAAAAGTCCAATTGCTTGGACATTGGGTAGTGTTGCAGAATGCTAGTGGGCTTGTCTTAATTGTACTTTTAAAATAGTTGGTTACATTGAACATGTTTTCTTCGAGTGCAAAACTCCATTTGGCCATGTGTTTAAGGAAACTAATTAACATATACGTATCGGCTTAAGCTTAGAACCATAATAATACGGAGTGTGCCTCCCTAATTACGAGGTCAACTCTCTGGATTATTAATTATGCTAATTTAGTATTATGTGTAAGTCAGACAATTATCCATCAAAATATTTTTAGAGAAATGAATTTTTGGGCTAATATGCCATTTGTTCATGTAGGATGGGATCCTTTTCCCCAGATTTTATAACAAAAACATCATCGTTATCCTCAATTTTCTTAACATGGCGTCCTCGTAACTTTTTAAGCAACAATCTCTTTCTATCTGAAGAATAGTTTCTTGGTGTTACAAAAAGGTAAATATGGATGACTATATAAGCTACAGAATCAAAGCATTGAAGTGCATCATAATTTTTGTGCAATTCTAAAATTCCTCTTAGATTAAAGAAAAATTTATAGATCATTTGTAAATCCTGCAATGTTATGTAAAAATGAATGTTGACCAATACAGAGGTAACATAAGCATAAAATGAAAATAGTAAAAATCAGAATATTAAGATGGATATATTGTTATATATTATAGGATAAGATAAAAAATGAAGATATTCAACGAAAGTTAAGAATAATGTCAGTAATTATGTAGATGAGAAACATAGAATGATATGGTTTGAGCATATTATTTAAAAACCCTTAGATGCTCCAATAAGAAAAGTTTGATATTGATAGCATAACATAAAAAAAGGAAAAGATCATCCCAAACTTAAAGGAAAATAATACTTAATAAAGTGGGAAATAAATTGACAATTTATCTTAAAATGGATTGGGGGAAATCTACTAGCATTATGAGGGGATATACCAATCATTTCATATATATGTTGCAAACAGACTTCTTTAGCAATTTGATTCTATATTTATTTATTTATCTTTCTCTCATTTATTTTTCTTTTCCCTAAAATTTTAACCTTTTATTTTGAGTCATCGGCCACTCGCCAACTAATTTGAAATAAACACGATGTTCATATTGATGTTACTTAGCGTTACAAGTAAATTTTGGTGGCGTGTTAATTACAACTCAGGAATTATTAATTAAATAGTTAAAAATGAGGAATGTTATACTTACAATTTTTTTTTATAATCTCTTACAAATCTTAACATCGTTGATTTCCGCCAATCAACGATTATGATTTTCGCAAATTAAACTCATTAATTAATAATTAATTCATAATAAATGATAACCGTTGATTGACGAAAATCAACGGTGTTAAAATATAGTTGTAAGAGGTTGTAAAAAAAAGGTTATAAGTATAACCCTCCTTGTTAAAAATAGATGATTTTTTTTATCATGTAAAATAAATTTGTTTCTTAAGTGATCCTTTGACGCTAATAAAAAAACAGCTTACTTTTTTCGAAAATCTCAGACAAAAGTAAAAACCCTCGAAAATTGGAGACCTGATTAACTGAAGTACTTATTTTAAAAATATTTGTGAGTGATTTCTCAACAAAAATAATGTTTGAAAATGAACTTTGAATTTTTTAAAAATTTATGTTGGATAAGGTTCAGATCTCTTTATTGCGAGTCTCCTCTTCCAAATATTGGGTCATCAGTTTATAATTAAAGAAATGGGCGAAACTTTTTAGTTACACTTTAATGCTTAAGTTAATGTAATAATAAAAGATAAAATATTCAAGAAACGAGTGAGAATGATAGAAATTACAGTACCTTTATAGTGAGGGGATATGCATGCTGCCATGAAGGTGTAATTTGTGTACCTCAATTGACAATTGAGAGTAGTGGGAAGAGAATCTGAGTTCAATTTTCACTATATACATATTTAATTGGAGAGGGGCGATGAAATTTAAGTGTGACTAAGTCAGCAAATTAAATATCAGGTGCCGATTCGTTCAAAAAGATAATTAAGATTAGTATATATATATATATATATATATATATATATATATATATATATATATAATACTGAGTGTTGATTGGAAAGAGCATGTCCTCTTTTTAAAATATGGTACATTAAATTAGTCAAAACAAAAATATATATTTAATTTTACAGCTTAAATGATTAATTTTGTATGTTTTTAACTTTTCCTTGAGGAATCAAATTGTGAATTCTGTTCATTTTTTAATATTTAAAACTT